GTTATTAGTAAATTGTGACCCGAAGTCTTTTGAATTGAAACATCAGTCACCCATAGGCAGGCATCAATCATGGGAGTTATCCGGCAAAGTGTTTATACCCTGACTTTGTGAGTCACGCTCAAGGCCTCCTCCTCCTCCTCCTCCTCCTAACCCTTCTCGATTCGTGTACGTCGAAATGGATTTTGTTATGCGTATAGCGCCCACAAACTTATGTCAATTGATGGGCTGTAAAGTAACGGTTTTACTGTCTTCCAAATTGTCAGACAGGTGGTGTCCACCGCCTTGCTTTCCTCCCTCTCACCCTGCAGTCGGTATCTGTGACTCCAAAGTCCACCGCGCAGACACTTGCATGCACAAAGTGGGCCATTGTGACTTACCGAAGTGCGAAAATGGTTTGAAGTTGGCGTTTAGACGACCCGCATGCATTACATTACAACAAGTTGTGGCAATAACCCTCATGTACTTTTGTGTGTGCTATTTGGCGTTTTTTTTTTCTTCTTTGTGTGGAAGAGGGACGGGGCCAAGAGGCCTTACTCTGAGGTCACATCTTCAGCTGTTGCTACCATATTTTTGCTCCTTCATATGCCACTCACTGTTTTTTTTATTCAAACTGGCGGAATTTTTGTTTTTTTCTTCTTTTTTTTGGTGCACTATTGCTGCAGCCTCGCTCAAATTTTCGCCGATTTGAAGGCGACCATCTCCAAGGTGGACGCGGATGCTGATTTGAGTAAGTGGTCGCATGCCCACGGTGTCGACATGCCCCACAACTTCCCCACCTTTCAAGTGAGTAACAAACAAATTTGTAGCTTCATTTTCGCTTTAACTACATCACCCTACATTACAAGTCTCTTTTTCTCTCCCCTCTCCTCCAACTCTGCCAGGAATACAGCCCTGAAGTGTGTGCATTGAGTAAGAAGGGCAAATCAGTTCTCGCCGATGGTAACAGTGGAGGTGTGACGTTGACAAGTGTGAAGACAATCACCTCACCGGATCGAGGTGGACCTACAGGTGGGACTACTGACACGGGCTCTGTCTCCACCTCCTCTCCTGTTCACACCACGTAAGTGCGCGGGGTCCGTGGAATCACTGCAGTCCTTTTGCATTGTCATGATGCTATGGAATTGTATTTGTCCAGCGACTACGCCTCCAATAACTACGATCACGGATCTGATGGTATCACGACAAGGTCAGTTTGTCGTTTGCACTGATCTCGACATCTCCAACTAGGTTTGTGTGCGTCTGTGTGCTTTTTTTGTGTCTTCAGAGTAGTCGCTGTGACGATTTTGTATTACCTGAAAGTTGTCTTTAAG